TTGAGATTCAAAGCTAGAAATTAGCTGCGTATACACTTTTTCTTATTCATTCTGGAAATTGCATATTCAAATTTGCTGAGTTTCAAAAATGAGAAAGATAAGAAAAGAAAATACCTGGTTGGTGAAGGAAGATGTGAGAAAATATGCTACAGACAGGAATATTAAGTGGAAATGTTATTACATTTATATTTTATACAACTTTTGCGATGTCAATGAAAAATACAAATCAGCGCCTAGATGTAAGGCATTGCGAAAATGTTTGCGTCATTGCAAATTTTTCTGTGATGTGACTTAATTGCACAAAACGCGGGTGCGGCAGCGATTTCCCGTAGTATTCCTCAAACCTTTTGAAAACACAAAAAACGGGGAAAATCGTAATTTATAACTTTGAACATAACCTGTCTTCAGAAAGGACAACATATAAATAACCCGTCGGGCACAGCTAATAGATATACTTCATCGGCAGCATATTTAGTAATAATTTCCTCACACAGTGAATATTACTGATTTTATACCTTTCTAGACCAGTACACATAATCATCTAGATGCGATCTTGCTATTCAACCAAGTTTATTTGTTTCATGACTTCTCAGAGATGAGAACTACGGACTACACAAAACATATGCAACCAACAATGTGTGTAGTTGACTCATTCTTTCATAGATGGACTCTCACAACGATTCTAGTGAGCAAACGCGGAATGACTGTTTGCACCCTAAAAACTACCTAGTCTGCAAGATGGCATTGCGTAGGTTTTTTTTGACGTTTTAGAGGTTTTTTACATAATACCCGTACGGAGTAATTCTTGCCATCTTCCACAACTCCGGAATCAAATTATTTTATTATTTTATTAACATTCGTTAGGTGATACGATAAAAACAACTGGTATACATCTCAGTATGCTGAAGATCCTTCCACAGAGACTTACTCCGAGTATTCTTAATTTTATATTCTATATAAGAATTTTTTTCAAGGATGTCAGTTTTAATGATAAGATTTTTCAGCTCTTTGTAGTAAGCAAATTGATGTGGTTTCCTGTGAATTTTGAATTTTGTTAGCACTTTGTCGCGTAAGGACATCATAAATTTCAGGTTACTTGTCAGCCATGGTGCTTTTGGTATAGTTCTTACAGGTACATATTTTTCAAAGAGCTGCAAGACCATATGATTAAACAGAACAAGTTTAAAGTTTATGTCGTTACAGACGTATAATATGGGAAATCAAAACCAACCAAATCACGAACAAACGGTTCTTGTCAAAATTCCTCGCGATATTAGTAAAATTGGATTTTGACGTTTCTTTCTTGTAGCCAATATGACAACCGACTAGACAGTGATCAGAAAAAGTTGAAATCAGCTTTATCACCAACTTTCAATGAATTACTACATATCATCAAGTTAATCATTTTTACACTTGTTTGTGTGATACTCGTCAACCATTTGCACTAAGTCATATGTTTCCATCTTACCACTCAATCATAAAGTAGGCTGACCGTCACTACTCAAAAAATCCTATATTAAGATCACCCGTAAAAATAATGCTGTCATACATTTGATAGAGATTTGAGACTATTTCGTCTAATATTTCGAGGAAATCGAACACAAGACAGCTAGGAAAGAGCATGTTTCTCACCTCTCAGACACAAAATTACCCATCCGCGGTATCGGTATATATAATTGTACTTCTCCAATTGCTACGTATATAAACAGCTTCACCTCCTCGCCTGCCTTCTCAGTCACGCTGATATAGTTTGTAACTTGCAAGAGCTATAACAGAGTCTCAATCTTGTGCATACGGGATCTTACGTTAATATGGCAGATGCTAAAACTAGCCATACTACTTACCTTCATTCAAAACTATAGCCCTTTAGTTAAGTACAAGACGATAATTACATGATCAAACGAACTTACCTGTAAATGATGTCCGATCTTAATTATGTGAAGTCCTCGTCGAAACAAATATTTAGAATACATATCGTAGTACCCTCGTACTAGTACCCAACCGCCACGATTTCAAAGCGCGCTCGCAGAGGAGGAAAGCGGCGCCGCGCCCCTTCCCCCTACCTTTCTCCCCTCTCGTCATTCCTTGTTCTCGTGCCCCACACGTTAACCGGCGTGCGTCGTTTACGCGCAGTGCAGTGTCGAGGATCCGCTAAACATTTACAATTAGAAAATAAGACAGAAGGCTGACCGATGGATGTGCATTGTCGAACGAGACACCGACCGACGGTCGCCTGAAGGTTCCTGCCGTCGCGGACCAAAATTAGAAAGTGGTGTGCAGGCCTCTTTTTCTGAAAGGGCGTCACCATCAGGTAACTGTCAACTAACCGATCTATTTTAGGTGCAAGTTGAATCAATATTAGTATGGATGCCTCACCGGCGCGGCAAATTGTGACTAACATGACATTTGGGATAACATTCTGACACTGTTGCTTGGGATAGCAACCTGGACCTAGCTTGTGGTAGCCAACTCCATACCTAGGCGAACAAAGACATTTAGGATAACGCTGAAACATTGGACTCGGTTGCATGAGATATCAACGTGGACCTTGCTTGGGATAGTCCAAACCAAGGACGAATGGAGATGTTTGGAAAAATGAGTCACAACCGATCAACAAAATTTCACAGGAATATGTGGAAAATTTACTATTATTATAGGTATATAATGGTACTTGAAAATTATATAAAAAATGTAGTGCTTGTTGAACAGTTGTGTCCAGCAAGAACCAACGAGGAGGTGTGAGGTAAGCTCTTACCAGGAAAGGAATAAGGAAGATGAAGAGGAAAAAGTGTAGGATACATGATAAGAAAAACAGATAAAATCAAAGTAAAATAAACAACAGGAAAAACATAACAAAGATTAACGAAAACTTAATAAAAACTCTCAGAACAAACAAATAACAGCACAAAATAATAAAAAAAATTAGCGAATCTAGCATTTCTTGAAAGAATGTCAGCTTACTGTCATCACCTTGACCATCACTATTGGAGCAAACAGTAGGCTCTGCATGAAGGTCATTAAACCGCTATCATTTCAATAAACTTTTTACATTGACAATTCTCCACCACTACCATATAATATCAATGAATTTTGCTGTCTCTTCGGAGTGCTGTATGTGTATGTTTTTACCAAAGCTTGATACTGCATCTATTAGAAATGGGTTGAATATCCTGAGAGCTAAATGATTATTTTGTCTTTCAAGGTTGGTATGATATAAAGCTTTTGGGGTCAAACCATAACCATGTTTAAATATTTTATGACTCTCCATTTGGTACAATGTTTTAAGAGATTTAAATGAAGCAACATTTACCTCATGTGTTTTAAAATCTCTGTATTTTAAAATTTGGTCTGGTTTTGATTCCATCCAATTATTGCGCATACGTTTTAGAAGGTGCACTGTATCAAAAAGTGAGAATAGGGAACCTTTTTTCCAACGGATGCGGACAAACAATGCTTGCTTTATTATCTGGAGAAAAATGTGCCATCGCTTTACTATTTAGTGCGTTATTATCACTGACAACACAAAAAATTTTGTAACGTAGTTCTTGTAATCCAATAATAAGTTTTTTGTAATATTGTAGGTATATGATAAATTTTATGAACAGGACAGATTTGAACAACTTCTTTGAAATTAGAATAGAAGCTTGAAATCACAAACACATAGAGCTAATGCAGCAATATTAATTGACGTTCCAACAATATTACCCCCTTTGAAATCTAAATATGACTGAATGTGTATTTCATCCATTAATAAAATCATGTTCTCCTCACCAGGTTTTACAAATCTGAAAAGGTTCTTTGCATAGCCTAAAAAGTTATATCTCTCATCGGGAACTGGATCGACCATCAATGCTTTGACTTCAGAGTATTTGGGTGTGGTAAAATAAGTGCTCCATGGCTCCTAATAAATCTATAAGAATGTGGACTGATTTTATACAACATAGAGCAAAACACTATTGTTTCTGATGAGTAACTGTGTCTGTTCTTCTGAATAATAACAAGCTTTAGTTCTTCACAAATAAATTTAGTGACAGTGTGTGTCTCTTTATCGGTGAATAGGTCTGTGCTATTTAAAATATTGTAAGCATGGTTGATAGTAGCTCTGAACTGGTCTTTACCTGAATATTATCTCGAAGCATCTACATTCTCAGAAATAACATTCAGATTATCATCCAAGTGGTGTATATTAGATAATAAAAATGGAGTTTTAATATTAGCTGAGTTCAGTGACAATTCTTGGGAGAACATATACGTTTTTACATTGAGATCTTTATCAACAATTGCAGAGTGAGTTATTATGGGTGCTGGTTTATATTCTAACTTAAACAAAGTAACTTTATCCTGAACAATTCTATGCCACCCATATGGACATTGCCATGAATTGAAAACTATGAGAAAGTCTACATAGTTTTGGAAACTTGTTGTTTTTGATAGGAGGAATAATCATCAATGCTACTTTGCAGTGCTTTAACACTTTGGCTGCCCCCATAAGCGGTTATACACATGGCATCTCGGTTAATCGGTATTTCTTCAGTGCCATCTGTATCACCGGTGATCACAGAAGGAATAGAAAATAAAAATAATGTTTTTCAGTAAAACAAGTAAAACAAATAGTTATTGCATTGCCCGCACTTGGTAGAGATCAATTTAGCTTGTTTCATTCCCACAACCCGACCTCCTTCTCTGGCCTTTTTCTCATAACATGAAATGCATCTCTTCCTTTTCTTTCTCCCGTCTGCTGTTCTTTCTTGTGTACTATGTTTATCTTCATTTACTGGGACACTTGGGACTTGAGTAAGGCTCTCAATCAACATCTCTCTAAAAGCACCGAATTGTATGTTTTGTTTTTTGAAGTGCTTGTGAATAATAAGAGAATTGATGACAGCCTTATTCAGGAGAATTTCGAACATTAGCTTATGATACCATCTAATTATTTTTCGGAGTGGGAAAAAGTAGCTAGCCATTTGATCACAAACATCTATACCATCCTTACCAGCATTTTATTCTAATATTGCAGAAGGTTTCTTTATCTCCTCGCTCTTTCTGTTTTTCTTCCCAGTAGCCTTTATATCCAGCGTGTGCTTAGTACTCAAGAACGGAACATCCCTTTTGTCCTTCCATTTACCTATAACGAGTCCTGTGGTGTTTTCCTTCCCCACTATTTCCCCTCTTTTTAGCTGTGCACTCATAACTCATAAACCGCAAAAACTGTATAAGAACCAACCTGAATATAGTAAAAGTGCAGTCGCAAATTTACCCTACAAAAGTAGGCAACCAGTGATGTTATACCTCAATGAGTTGTCTATATTATCAGTATGCCACAGTATAAGTAGTTAAACTTAATTCACAGGCCAAGCGGATATATCTCTAATTTAGAGGTATACTGCATGTGAAACACATGTGAGTCACGTGGCCGGCGAGTAAAACGTGCCTGTGTATCACCGGTGTTTCACATGGCAGCCAGTGAGTGTGTTAAGTTCTTGTTCCTTGTCCCTCAATTTCTCATCTCGGCTTCTTCTGCTTGATATATCCTTTGAAAGGTACTTTGGACAATTTGCAAAGATACTTGGAATTACATCTGCCTTTAATTTTGGAAACTTAAGGGAAACCTGTCTTTTCGTCATGGAAGGTGGATTCCCAAATGATGCTGTCCTTAGCCACTAAATCACTGCGAGAGATTGCATTGAGCCATCTTTCACGACAGTATTCATCCAATGGAAACGAAAATACGTCTTACTTCGGACCCTTCCCGTAATTACCGGCACAATCAGGAACGCAAGACTTGTAAGGCATTTTGAAAACTAAGCTAAACAGTCGCGAGACACAAATATAAGTTTAAAACATCGATAATTTACAGTTTACATGCATAGAAAGATACATAATAGAAGCTCAGAATTTGAGGTTAGTTGGCTGTTGGATGTTAGCGGTGTTACCAAGGTTGCCACATATTCCAATTTTGAATTGGGGGACCTGGGTTGGCCGCGTGGGTCAGAGTGTCGTGCTACTGATCAGCCGGCCGGCCAAGCCGCGAGTTCGAATCTCGCCTTCGCCATGTATGTTGTGGCGTCGTGTGTTTGTCCATAACTAGATATATTCTATATACCAACCTAGTTTCTAGCTGCATGGCTTAGTCCTAAAGCCAAAAAAAAATTTTTTGAATTTTATGCTAGACTTCACAAGTGACAGATTGAACGTAATATCGAAAATGTATTCTTGACATACTGAGGCAGATCAGAAAGAATAATCACATCATCACTGAAGCTGCGCAGGCCGAGAGTACATCTTGCAAAATCGTCCACAGGGGGTACAACTAATTAGTAGAGATTTCGATACTGCTATATGAAATCTAGATATGACAACACCGCAGAGATATGGTGGCGCGGCTCTCTTGCCAGCCAGCATCGCGAAACTCCATAGGAATATGCATAGGCTTACTCTGCGTGACGTCACAGGGTTTTTACAGCCCAGTTGTTTGGCCTTGTACTCTCGGAGGTAACGGCTCAACCCGTGAACGCGATCTCTGGCGATGTCGATCCCGTGTATGTTTTTTTATAAACTATCTCCAGTTTTTTAAGGTGCTTCGAGTTCTCCCTATCAAAATCGGAGCTGCTCCTAGACGAATATCGTGATTTTTCTCCTTTCCCATATTTAGCTGCAATGATAAAGCGATTAAAGAAAATGAGTTTGTTCTTACGCGCTGGCCGTCGATGTGAGCTGGTCAAGTACAAGAAGGCGAATGACTGTAGGAGGGAAGTATATCGGTATATATGTTAGGTTCAAACACCGATTTCGGACAATGCTCGAAAAAAACGACCAGAACGCGTTCTGGCCACCAGCATATTGCCAATGTCCGAAAAATCGCTTTCTGGCCGTTTAGTATAGATCAAAATGCGTTCTGGCTATCGCCATATTGCCAGAACGCGTCGAGCATACAAACAAAACGTCCAAAACCCGATTTTCTACGAGTCTAAGCTTGTATCGAATCTAAACCACCCTACTGTCTACTACTCGCAGTAAATAATCATCGCGTAGTCGATGTACGTCGCGTTGGTTAACCTGTTCTTTAAGCCGTGCAAGAATGTCTACTAGTGTCGTGGATAGGTTCGTGTAAAAATAAGTAGATGTAGGTACGCCGATACCCTAAAGCACAAGTTATTATATAGTATCTAAATGTTTTCTGTTTCTGTTAAAACTGAAGTTATTTATTTATTTTTTATTTTGAAACTTGTTATATAAGCAATCAAATATCTTTTTTTATATTAAATATGCCTTTGGACGTTTTGTTTGTATGCTCGACGCGTTCTGGCAATATGACGATAGCCAGAACGCATTTTGATCTATACTACTCGTAAATGACCAGAAAGCGATTTTTCGGATATTGGCAATATGCTGGTGGCCAGAACGCGTTCTGGTCGTTTTTTCGACCGAAATCGGTGTTTAATCCTAACATATACAGCGGCACGAGCGTAATGTGAGAGGGGATTTTGATTTGACTTTGGTGGCTGGTAGTACGACAGGGCGGACTACGTGGTGAAATAATAAGCATCTTTGGACTGGACGTCGAAGTATAATTCTTATCATAATTCACTTCCATGTTAGGTATATTCAAAGGTTTCGAACTATCAGAAGTCTTCAAATACGCAACATGATCAATAAATGTTTTGTATTTAAAACTGATAATAAAAGAGGAATCGATTTCTTTTCTTTCTCTGGTACAGTATTCATGCACTGTAATATTCTTGTTAGTTAGTGTTCACCAAATAGCTATTATGTTTTAATTCGATTATTTCTGAAAATGTGCCTTTTTTTCAAGAATTCACAATATTCAATCTTAAGTAAGTTACAGCTGGCGTGGATCAGTATAGTACCGTCAGAATAGTTAATATTATTAATAGTCATTGATTTGCATTCATAAATTCACAAAAATGTTTCACTTTCAACAATATCTTTGTGTTTTAATACCAGAATATTATTTTGCTGTATAACAGGAAGATACCGGAATCTATAAAGCTTCCAATAACTATTGGTATGTGACGAAGAAATATGATTTCTTCTTCGAAAACCAATTAGAACACTTAGGTCATATAATTAGAAAAAATCAAAATTATCCAGTTTATCAAGTGGCAGAAACTCATTTTTGTAATTAATAATGGATGAATATAGTTAAGTTCAGTTATTATTTCATTCAATTTCCTGAAATCAATAACCATTCTGTATTTCTTTACTCCGGAAGCATCCATTTTCTTAAAAACTATCCAGCAGGGTCATTGATAGGGTGAATAGCTTTGTCGAATAGCTCTATCATTCAATAATTTAGAAACTTGGTTTCGAATTTCTTTTTTGAGATAGGATATTGAACATTTTTTACATAAGCTGGGTCTTCATTTTTCAGTCTAATTAGTGTGTAGTGGCATTACAAGGAGCTAATGGTTCATTAGGCTTAAAAAATAGTTGTTTGAATTGCTTGCAGAGCTTAATAATATTTTCCTTCCCTTCACTGTTCACCACGTACATCGCATCTTTTGAGGAGATTATTTTGCGATTAGAATATCATCGAGAGGTTCAGATGACGATGGATTGGGAAAATCGAGAAGATTTATGTCAATCGGATATTGAGTAACATTATTTACTACGTTGCAGATACACTCAGGAAAATATTCGTCAGAATTTTTGAATTTCATCAGTGGAACAAGAACAGAACCGTTATCCATATTTCGAACAATTAATGCTGTTTTTGGGGTTACCATACTGGACTGGATTGTTTTCTCGAATTGGTATTATGAGTAATATTACATTTGTCAGTAATAGTCTAATGTTTAGTAAAATAAATAGTCCAATTTAGCTATTGTAAATCATAGAATCCTAATAAGCAATCATAACTTGAGGAAGATTGGAAAATTCAATTTCAGGTTTATTCTTCCATTCAGAAAATATGGGAATTTTACAAACAAATTGACCCTTTAAAGTTGGACGTACATGAGTCGATTTCAAAAGGATTACCATACCTGGATCTGGAAAATAGTTAAAAGCAATTTTTGGATTGATCAGAGAGGATTATGCACCAGTATCGATGAAGATTATAAGATTAAATTGAGAACTAAAAATATACAGAGGATGAGTTTTTTTGTAACTGTTTAACTCTAGGTCAAATTTTGGGACTGGCTCGTCGAAAGAAAATCTTCCTCATCATTATTTTCGAAAAGGGATTCATCAGAGATATAGTTTGAGTCTAAGTCTTAGGTGTATTCCTCAGATGCATATTGTGGCGTTTCTGTAAAGGTTTGTTCTTCCTCATTTTCAGGAGGAATTTCTTCAATAGAATAATGATTTGATTTGGAACCCACCTTTATTTTTGTTGACGTGGAATGGGTTTTGTGGCTGTCTGAAGGCTTGAATGTTCGTAGGGTAATGAGGTTTAAAATTATGCCTTGCTGGTGGTAATTGCATAGGACCTGTTGGGAATGTTTGTTGTGGCTCTAGCCAACTTTGACGATTTTGGACTCTAAACTGGTTGGGCTTTAGGGAAAAATTAAAATTAGACGTTTGGAAACTTTGATTTGGAACTTGCACTTTAGTCTGCGGCTGAGGCTGTTGTGGTCTCTTCAGACTCGTTCTTAATAGATTTTTGTAGTCTTCTTGCATTTTCAAATTGTTATAATCATGACAACATTGAACACAAGAATCAATCGTAGTAGAATTTTGCTGTCTTACATAGGACCTATATAGTTCATTTAAACCAGAAATAACTGCGCTTGAAGACTGACTATCGTAGTCTCAATTTTAAAGCAATATGGTCAGAATTATCAAGATATTCTAAATTTGCAAATATTTGAGACACTGTAGTTTAAATTTAATATCTCGATAGAAGTCTGTATTTTTAGTTAGGTTTCTGAACTGATGTGTATAAAGCAGTGAGAAGAGTTTTTTCGTTTCTAGGAACTTTATACTTGGATCTTGGATAATAATAACGATTTTAAATCTGCCCAAGTTCTCGAACTATTTAGGTGCACTAAATCTCTTACTTCACTTTTTAGCTGAGAAACGACATATTGGAAAGCATATGAATCAAAAGGTGTATTGGCAGATCCTGCAATAAACTTTTCTGAATTATCCAAAAAATAATTTAGATCTCTATAACCTCCATAATATTCAGATACCATATACTTAGCTACATTAGATTTAAGTTGTAAATCTTGAAGAGACATGGCTGGCGGATTAAAATTAAGACTTTATCTAACAGAAGACGGATGAGTACACAGAGGAATTGAAAAATGCATACCTAAGCATCTTCCATTATATCCGGAAAAGTGTCACTACGGCACTATGGCCTTAAGACGCGTTAAAATTTAGAAAGACGATGAATTGCCTAAATAGGATTTAATTCTTTTAATTTTTGCCTTCGGACATGATATCATCACAGCAATTGTTCAAAATGTCTTCCTCCAACCTGAATACACCGATTTAAACGTCGCACATGATTTCGGCGGACTTGACTAAAAATTTGATACTCGTTTTGAATGATTTCAAATGCTGCTGTAATTCATCCGAATAGGTCTTGCTCTGTTTCTACTGGAGTTTCGTAAACCAAAGACGTTACATGTCCCCACAGGAACGGTGTATTCAGGTTGGAGGAAGACGTTTTGAACAATTGTTGTGATGATATCATGCACAAAAGGCAAAAATTAAATGCATTAAATCCTACGCAGGCAATTCATCGTCTTTATAAATTTTAACTAGTCTTAGGGCCGTAGTGTCGTAGTGACACTTTTCCGGATATGGCTCCCTATACTCAAATGTTTTCTACTGTTACACTGAATAACCCCTACAAGTTTGATCCCATAGCTCTGGAACACCCTGTATAGCGAATGAGCTTCAAGATCCAATCAACAAATTTTAGCAGCCAATAGCTATGAAATATTGAAAACAACATATTGTCAAAATATGAGATTACAGCTTATCATTGAAAGATCACCAGCTTATTGAACATTTAGAAATTACATACAATTCAGTCCAAATTTAAAAAATATGTAATAAATAAAATATAATAAAATTCATGTTTCTTCACTATTATTGATTGTTTATTCACGTTTATATTATTTTCTTCAACTGATATGCGATTTTACTGATTTCACATCAGCTACCGTGTGTTTTTCCTATAAGCCTCCTGCAGATAGCCACTTGGTGACAAAGTCTCTACCAAAAATTTCACAGATATTGCTCTTTTCCAAACATCCATTCATTCACTTGGCGCTCATCAGTATCATATGGCAACTCAGATTGATATTTGCTCAAAACCATTCGGGATTTTTGATAAGAAAGTAAACATGAGTTATAAGATCGATGCCTCGAGATCGCTTTTTACAAAAGTTTATTTTCGAAAATACAAAACTCAAAATTATTACAATGTTATTATGCTGTTAACAGTACAATTTAGTAGCATCGTCGGCAGTATTCCTGAGATTCAACTTCGGGGAAAAATTCTTCACGGAAGTTGAATAGGATGAAGTTCGACTTCTGGTTGCTGAATACTTCTATTTCTGAGCTTCCTCCTGTTCAATATGGATTTCCAGAATGCGTAGACACCCAAGAGTAATATACATCCATATATTATCAGTGTCCAGGCACTGGGTATAAAAAACTCTGCAGGTTTCTTGAAGTTGGGTTTGTTGTTGATAATGCTTGTCTTGATTTTACTTAACTCGTCCAGCTTAATTTTTTCTAGATGCAGACTGAAATTTGTTTCTGTGATGTCACCTTTAGTGTCCAGGTTTAAATCTGGGAATATTATAGATTGGCCCGCGACAATCGTTTCGAGTTCATTTTTGATGATTTGATGATTGATTTCGGCTTGACAGTTGACAGGAATATGAAGTAGGTAAGTTCCCGTTAATGTTTTCAGTTGCATATCTTCGTGGCATTCCATTTTGACAACTTCTGGTAGAGGCAGGATCAATACCCATTGATTAGTCCGTTGGATTCGTTCGATACTTGGCTGATTGATTATCAGTGGAGTTCGGGCGTTTCTTCCATTAAACAGTTCAAGTTCACAGGGTAACGGACCATTGGTGTCTTGCAAGTTGGTCTTCTCGCAGAGAAACTTTTTAGGGGTAATTTCAGTAAAAATGTCGCCGAAAAGTGCAAAGTGCAATTCATTTTTTGCCAAATAAGGCTCTTTTGGAATGATAGTCTTAAATTGACCTTCAAAATATATCGAGATTGGAAAGAGACGATATAAACTAAATGACTCATAGTATGAGATTGGGAGTGATAAAACAAATGAAATTTTGTTGCCCACAGAATAACTGGAGATTTTGATTATTTTTTCAAAAGTTGGTATGTTATCTAGTAAAACTGGGATCGCAAATTTTTCCTGGCCCAATCTTGTACTCAATAGTCCCAGTTCTTCAAAAATTCCTTCGGTTGTAATAAGGCTAGAGTGAATTGCTCCAATACGTGCAAAAATTATTGAATATTCAAGTCTTGTAATATTGACAGAGTTACTTCGTAGCTGTTCATAATTTGAGATACTGTGTCTACTATGGATTTATGCTGATCTGAATCGATTGTAGTACGATGAACAATTGTATATATGGTATTAATTTTATTATTCAGCAATTGTTCATTATGATAGACTTGCTGAACAGTTTTATTTAACTTATCAATAAGAGACACTGACAGGGCATTACTCTGTGTGACACTGTTAGTCAATTCTCTTTGATTATTTCGAAGCTCTCGAATTAGATTTTCGAAACGTTCGCCATCATTGGCGTTAAGGTTTCCAGTTATTGATTTGAATATCGACCCAATGCCATTTAGTATACCTCTTTTTCCTCGCTTTGTATTGGGGAATATATTATGTAACTTTTGTTCTACCTGGCCCTGAACAAATTTTAATGTTCTGAAATAATTGGATAAATATGTAGTAACATTTAAATTTGAAGAAATGATTTCTGCTATACGTGAGGAAATCGATATATTTTCAATTTCAGAAATGATGGGATTCATATCATAATAATGAATGAGTGAAAAGTCATAGTCTTTTACTTTTGCTTCACCAATTTCCACGGGAAGTAGTCCTGGATTATTGTCTTTTACTTTTGCTTCACCAATTTCCACGGGAAGTAGTCCTGGATTATTGTCGAGGTTACGTATAGTTATGCTATCCTGAAGTCCAATCATTAATTGCAGGAATCTGTAAATGAATAATAACACCTGCATGTATATATGTATGTATGTGGAATTTGAAGAAATATAACTTGTTACGATAGATGATAAGATTTTAAAGAGAAAACGTTTCCAGTTATCCTCATAAGTGCTTTGTTGCATTTTTCCGAAACTGGTACCTTACTGTGTAGAGCCGCGTCATTTTAGAAGACAGTAGACATGAAAATTGAATTATTATTAGGTCATCGGTGTGAAATATCTAAAACTGAGACCAAGAGTGCGAACGTCTGTTCGATGCCGAATTTTATTACAAGGATAAGCAGTATGAATTTTTGCGGATTCATGAACCAAACCAACAGAATGTACAGTATCTGAAACCTTTGTGTACACTGCTTTAAGATCATCAAATTGTCTCCTAACTTTAGCGACAACATGGCGTCTAGTTCTGTTGCGCTGCTCAAAATTCTTGGCAGTTTTACTACTTTTGTATCTATTCTTGGGATCAACTAGATGCTCTTATGTTTGACAATTTTGTAAAATTTTTGATTGCTTCTTTGATTTCCTCATACGAATTTCACCTTTATATACTGATGTCTTTATTTCATTGATACACTTTGTGTTTGGCTCAACAGATAAAAAATTGAGACTGTATTCAGCATTTAAGTAAAGTAACTTGATTCTCGCAAAAGGGGTAACTACGTATAGATAGCCACATCCAAAGTGTAGGGCGGCCTTTAATTCTATAAGATTGTCAATACCAGTTGAGCCAGTAAAAACATCGTTGAACTTGAATAGGTAAAATTTCAATTTCTTTGGATGAGGCAAGTTGAAAATTTTAGATGCTGGTATTAGAGAGCACTAAACTTGTGTGTTGATCTGTGGAATACACCTGAGACAGTGAAGAGTTCCTCCATAACCTGATTTGGAATGAAATTGAGAGCAATCCCTGGATCGATAAAAGATCTACTTGAGCCAGAATCTATCAACATTTTGATATTGTACTCTGGAAAAACTATATAGCTCAATCCTTTTGTGTTTCTAGCATTGAACGATATAATTTCACTGTTTATGGCGGTTGAGTAACCTGGCTGGCTGGGGGAAAATTTTCATTTCCTGACATCCCGGCTGAGTTGGGCAATGGGCATGTCAAGTTCATTATTTTGATCGGCATTGTAATGATCGTATTGGCAAATTTTTAGGTTGCGGTCATCATACAATTCATCGTAATTATTTTTGACGTTAGTAGCAAAATTGCCTGTATCATAAGAATCATATGTAGCGTTATCATTTAATTCGGTGTTATACAATTCCTCAAAGATAAAATTTTGCTGAGGTCGAGGTGTGTTCGCCGGAATTGGAGCGAATGATGGACGTGTTGTGTTTCTTGTGCTGACACTCATCGGTGTCGGCCTGGGAAGGTTTCTTAGATTTGAAGAATTTGGCTTAAAAACGTTTGTATTCGAATTCTTTGCTTGTTGGTTGCCAAATACTTCAGCGTTGGTCGGGGAACGCTGATTTAATTTTGGCATAGGTTGAATTTAGATGCGTTGAGATGGGAATTGCTCACAAAAAAAGCTATTAGGCGTACGAGAATTAAAATTTTGATAAGGTATATAACGGGGCGTGCAAGTCTGAACTGCGAAAATTTGTAAAATTCTGGGAATCTGCCCTACCTCTATATGAAACGTTTTGGAAATGATTCACATTTTGTTCTTAAATCACTAATTGAAGGGTTCCGCTCAAAGAGGTTGGTTTCATGCACCTGACAGTGGTGCCCAATGGTTCTTTCAAGCCTAAAAGGAAAGTCTTTAACGCAAGTTTTTGATACAAATCGCGCTTTATTGCTTTACCACTTTCGGTAGCTTCGTGGATATCGTCGTAGCTACACAGATTGTTAAAAATATGCAAACATCTTTCATGAAATCTTTGAGGGCTCTCATTTTGATATTGGTTTAGTAAGGAAAAGTCTCTATGTAAGCACACTTCATCACGTTGGTCAGAAAAACTAGTAATTGATAAAGTTTCGAGTTCACTCCGGGTGTTCACTGAATGAATGCTTATTAAAGATTTGTGTATTTTGAAAATTGTTTGGATTGGAATGAACATAAAAATTGTCAGATCATTACTGTTGCCGTCAAATTCAGGCACACAACTTAGGTATTCGGGCCTTAAAGTAGCCATAGTTGTAGTAATACTTCTAGGTATTGATCGTACAGGAACTTGTGAAGGTATGGGCTCACGTAATATATTAAAGTACCGTCGATTATTTGGAGAGTCAGTCTTATCGTCCAAATTCTCAAGGGCTTCCGACATATCAATGCTCATTGAAATTTGAAGCGATAAATGGAAAAAATAAACTGCACTTACAACACTAAGGAAGCGATCTTTAGTATCTCTTACTCCTACAAAGATCCTAGCTGGTTCTGCAATGTTGTCTTACCCAGGCTGGAATCCTTACGAACTTGGGCAATGTGGTCCCAAATTCCGATGCCCTTCGTATGTAGCTGTTCACGCCGGTTCCTCGATGGATTGGGTATCCAAAAATATGTATCCACTCCAGTGCTCACTGCCACTACACGAACGCCACCAAGTCCAAAAGGCCGGATAGAGTCCCGAAAAGTCCCGTCGCGACGGTTTGCGAAAGTCTTTCCCGGGACGCGTATTTCTAATCCTACTGGATTGACTACGCCAGTTATAAGATCGATGCCTCGAGATCGCTTTTTTAAAAAGTTTATTTTCGAAAATACAGAACTCAAAAATTTACTTTTACAAAATCATTACAATGTTATTATGATGTTAACAGTACAAAGGCTTAAATCTGACTGACTATAAAATGTGTTGAGAACAATAAAGTAGACTCTAGGTCTTTTACTAAATTAGTAGCATCGTCGGCAGTATTCCTGGAATATCAGCAGGAACGGCTGATATAACTCACGCATCCACACTATATTTACAACGATTAAGAAATTCGCAAATATATGTCGTAGAGCTACCAGCAAATCTACGACCTGCAAAAAAACTAGAATTTGCAATAATTTTATACTCTACTATGCTTTATAAGACTGTTTCTCCCAAAATCGTAGCACAACACTTAAAACATGCAAATGAAAATTTTTAAATTATTTCCATGACGCCCCAAATGGCCCGTCGGTACCCCAGTTTATACATTTTGGCGAAAGGTTGTCGTTATTGTCAACTGGGCTCGGTTTGCCTTTACTACTGCCTTTACTATTTTACAGTTTGCTAAAATCTTATGAAAAATATATAGAAGCTTCAAATGAAATATTGACGAATAGGAATGGACATGCTTAGAATTTAGAATATAAATTCATATTGCATGTTTCAGATTGTCTATGCATGGACTTGAAACACATTCTTCGGTGTTCTTTACCGAAATGAAAGTATTTACCGAAAACGTCATTTTCCACAATTTTTCTAAATATCTCCATACTTGCCGAAAAAGAGCTGTTACCAAAAATAAAACTGAAAAATAAATTTTTCTAGTCTTTGTAGTTTTATGCCATATATCAATCATACATATGCATACACACTCAGGCAGCCGAGCACACAGGAGGCGTAAATTTGGGTTGCCTATGACTACGAACGCACATCCTCATCCTATACTCCGCTCGCCCTGAATTGATTTTTGTGTGTACAAAACGTGCAGACTGGTAGATTACCATCAAGAAACCGAATCATGTCTGTTTTTAAAATAAATATTTAATTAACATGTGAGGTGAGTTTATGAGCTCAGTGGTAAAATAGAAAAATATTCACAATCATTTGAGCAAGAATCAAAAAAGCAGTTTCCAGAATGGTTGCAAAGGACTTTGAAAGAGTATATATATATATAGTATGCACATCATACAGGTTGTAATATATAACTTGGCCCTCAAAGAACCTGTTCAGTGCGCGCTCAATACAATAATAAACTTTTTTCATAGACGGTGACTCAAAGGTTCTTGATCCACCATTGAACTTGGGATGGCATTTTTCCCTATACCGAAGAAACTATTTACCGACTCCTTTTCTTTTCGGATTGGCAACATTGCCATTTCTAGATCATAAATTGGTAATAAATTATTTTTGATGTAACAAAAGATAAACCAGTTGACATACGTTTTATATCCTTTTTCTAGAAAATAAAAAAGGTACATTTCTACAGGTTCGTTTTATGTAGAACACCCTGTATGTAATACAGAGACAAAACTAGATTGCCATGCATGGACAGTCGTCAAAAACAGCGAAAATAAAAAAATGGCAATTCTATGAATGTTATCCTAATTATGAAGCTCAAATACATGGTATTACATCTAAAATGTACCCTTATTTATGATATAACCGCTCTTCCACGATATTATTGAATATTTCAATAGAAATGATTGATATTAGGAGCACTTTGACAGCTTCCGCCAAATTGCATTTCAATAAGCTGTCCCCTAATTGGTCGAAGACCCCAGTAACGGTGGTGAAATCGACCCTAAAGCTGCTGAGAGTTTTCTATAGTGCTAGAGTGGCTCAAAAATGAAGTGATACAACGTCGAATTACTTTAGAGGTAATCATGAATGCAGGTTTTAAGGATTATTTTTCTGTGATGACACCTAGCGATTGACTCTACATTCTGGAATAGTTTATGTAAGAACTTGAATTGGAGCAACGACTTAATCCAGTGATTATGGTTCGTTAACAAATGTCTCCAAGGAAGTTCTTTCATCACATCTAATGATCTCGTCCTGTCACTTTCCGTATTACCAAAGCCGACACGTAACATATATTCATCAAGTAAAAGTAGCATGTAATCGGTTCCCATTTCACTTATATCTGTCTAAAAATACAATAATTTCTTTGAGATCGCGGCTCGTGCATGTTAAAGCAAACAATATTATTTTGTCACGTTTCGTTACCTCCGCATCTTCCTTGTTAATTCATCGAAAAAAGTTTATAAAAGCATGTTACTGCTCGAAGCAGGTTAATGCCACATTCAGAAGCAATTTCAACAGTGCCAGACGCACGCAGAAGTTTCAGTCAATCATCCACAGGTTACGATTAAATTAATATGCGCGGGTATGTAAGCGAATTGTTTTTATTTGGAAGTATGCTGGTGTTGTGTAAATTAGCAGTGCTGGAACAAGTTCGGAGGAACAGTAGAGTGATTGGTCCTGGTAGCTTTTGGTTTGGAGATGTGGAAGGTAGCAGAGTTAGGACGGGTGCTGTTAGTAGTCGTAGAGGGAGATGTGAGTAATTATATTTTCGCTTAGACTAGGATATCTAGAATTTCTAATTAAATACGGATTGTATTTCGGGCTTTATTTAATCAAGGAATGGAAAAATTATGTGTATGAAATGTCGGCATAGGCGGTCCGCTAAAAAGTTGTAGCGGTTAATTTGCAAAAATCGCTGACACCAGTGTTCATTTTTGCTGTCAGATGCATATAACGGTAAATCGGAAATTATTGCTGAAAAGTTTTTCATTTAACAATGCCCAACAGCTTCGACTTGCTACCAATCTAACGAAATATAGAAAATTGAAGTACATTATGGCTTGCCAAGAGAGCAGGTTATATTTGATTTGTTTGGAAAGTGTGACTCTTCTGTTCCACGAAAAACTGCAGTCAAGGCTTCTTAGAAACACTCATACCATTTGTAAATACTCTCTATACGGGGTGTTTCAAATTCGACCCTCACCATTGGGATCCTAGAAACTGTTTTGAAATCCAATGTAGTTCCGGAGATAGACGGAAAAAACGAATTTTCCCCAAAATCGCCTTAATTTTTTCCTGACTTTATTTGTAGTGTGATTTCAAAATGTATTGCTCACCAACATTGCCACTTTTTCTCCTCTACAGGATGGCATAATTAGAATTTATATATCACGTTTCGTCTGTCGACCATCAACTTTTCTTCTTATATACGCCATATTGGTTTATTGCACAGATGAATAGGATGTTTAATTCTGATTCCAATAATGTATAAAAAGTCATTCATTGACGTTGCCAAACGTAAGTTATTTCAAAAAAGCAGATTTTCCTAGGTAGGCCTTGAAATTATCAAATTTCGTTTGTTTTGTATGCCAGACCAGACCTCAAATTGAACATAGCAACAGAGTTTGAAATACTAAGTAAAAGAGAAATAAATCGAGCAGTGAACAATGTATAGAGAAGAGTCAAAACAACGGACAATATTTTGAACATCTGTTATGATTTATCTCGGCTTATTTGTGATTATTATTGTTGTTACCATCAATTAAAATTTTATATTTTGTTCAGGTTTCATCATTCCTTTTTGTTTCCTCATCATTTTTATCAAACGACAATTTTATGACCGATTAAGGAAATACATCACTGAATGTAGAACCGAAGAGTTCATTTAAATGTATAAAATTCCAATATAGCGTCCATATTATGAAAGAACAAAGTTGGTGATGGAAGCTGAAAGAAGAAATGTCGAATTGAGAATTTGACTACGCCATCTTGTAGAGGATAATAAGTAACAATGACAACATGAAATTTACAGCTCGAGTAAAAGCATGAAAAAGACAATGTTGATCTTAGTATGTGAAACAAATGACAATCTGATAATTTCAATGCCTACCTAGGAAATTGTGCTTTTTTAAATAAATAAGGTTTGACAATGTCAATGTATAATTATTATACATTCTTGTAATCAGAATTAAAAACAGAATTCATCTATGCAAATATCCAGTATAGCTTTCATAAGAAAAAATAAAGGTGATGCTGGATGACAAGAGACGAGACGTGATATTGCAATCCCATTTATGTCTTCTTGTAGAGAAGAAAAAGTGGCAATGCTAATGTGAAGCTTTCTAAGCGGCATCTTGTCGATTACCTAAACACGCAACTTTACCCCCATTTAAGTGACTTCGTATCGCTTACAGTTTCTGAGATACCAATGATGAGGGTTGAGATTGAAGTACCCTGTATATCGGGAAGCAGCTTTTGTGAACTTTCAGTTTTTAGACAATCATTAATTAAAGGTTAATATTTTCAGGTGTAGTCAACATGTTTTTATTGTTTTGTTATGTCAAGCGTTGAGAATAGATATTGTATGAAGTTTTGTACCTGTGTAGGTTAGAAAATATTTAGCAACATTTGTTTCACTCACCATGGGTAGGTGAGGGAAGTATTGTGATGGCGAATAATAGCATCTTTTACTCCCCACGCCCACTGGCGGGGAAGTATTGTGATCGCAAAAAATTCGAAAATGAAATATTGTTTTTTCGATGTTATATAACAAGTACATCACGACAAACCATGTCACTCATTTCCGTAGATCCGTTTGTCTGTCGGTCTGTCCGCTGATCTTATAACCGCCAATAACTTGAAAACCATCGCTCGGTTTTCGATAGAATTCTCACACAATGTTACTACTATGCCAAGAACGCAAAAGCCTTATAATTTTTGAAAATCGGTTTAGTGACGAAAGAGAATAAGTCCAAGAAAAGTTTGGTCCTGACCGAAATTGCCTTGTTAGCTATACAGCGAACCTCTACAAATATTAACAATATACTAATGAAAATCAAACGAATTTTTTCTGCAACAGCACCAGTGCAACAGTTTAAGCCTATACGGACACACTGTGAGTACATACTCAACCTTTATCTGATTAATTATATCAGAAATCGAAATAAATAATAAACCGTACAGCAGACTCGTGCAGCACAGCATAGTAAAAACTTTCCAAAACAAATGTAGTCTCGAGGAGACAGGTCCGTATCGAGAAATGATACGACGGCCACCTGGAGCGATTATCGAAATTCAATAATGGCATCCGTTGAACACCAAAATGCATCCCAAAATGTCACAACAGCTCAATCATACTCCAACGTACTGACTCAAAATACATTCAGATATCCAAATAAAGATCAAGCAATAATCTTTAATTCTAGTAATGGAACTAGACTGCAGGACTATTTACTCAAACTTGGTCCAATAATCAGCCCTAAAAATATACTTTTTTGTTCTAGAATTTCGAATAACAGAATTTGTGTATACTTAGCAAGTAAACATATAGTCGATACATTTCTAGAAAATCCTGGACAAATAGGACTCAATGGTGAGATCATAAAAGCACGCAGACTAATAACACCATCCGATCGACTAGTAATTTCGAATGTGAGTCCTACAGTCCCACACACAGTTATAAATGAAAAATTATTACAAATTGGTCTGAAAATAGTCTCACCACTTACTTTTTTGAGAATTGCAAGCTCCATTGCCTGAGTATAGCCATATACTCAGTTTTAGAAGACAAGGATATATTGAACCCAACCAAGATTCGGCAAATCTTCCAGAGTCACTAGAAATAACGCATGAAAACATAACCTACCGCATTTTTCTATCCTTAGACAGCCAAAAGTGTTTCAATTGCAATAGACAAGGACATATAGCTTCCCGGTGCCCATTTTCTACCCAACTGCAAACAAACATCATCGAAACACCAACACAGTCTATCAATCAACTGGAAACGACAAACACTCAACAAGTAAACGAGCAACAAATAACCACATCACCAAGTCATGAACCAGCAACATCTCAATATACAACCAACACACAAGAAGCAGAGGTCGAAAGCCATATCAAACCAATTCAACCAAAACAACAAAACACAGTTGCATTACATGATTTAACCTATAACAACCAAACGGATACACAAACCAGCACATCCTCCAAATGAAATTTCTCAGAAGCAATTTCGCCGACCACACCAACACATGATCCCTCATCAGACCTCACAAATTCCCCTATATTTCCAAAACCCAAAAACACAAGAATAAAGAAACAAAAGACAAATAGTCAGCCGTCATATATCTCTCAAGAGGCATATGAAGGCGTTAAAACATTTATAGATGCCCAAACCCCTGCTCTTACCTTGAATAGTGACCAATTCAAAAGCCTCCTAGAAAACACTCACGGAATCCATGATATAATGAGCATAATCCAATACTACACAGATGACACTAAAGGGCTCATTGAAATGATACTACTGGTGTACCCTCACATAGTAGATAGAGCAGTGAAAAACATATGTACTAGACTACGAAAAAAACTAGAACGATATACTGATAATAACATTAACGAATGTCTCAGCGACACCTCTTCAATGGACTCCACAACATATTAATTATATACTATGTTCATTGGTCTTAGGTCGCTTTTACAATGGAATCTAAATGGATACCACAGCCATTTAAACATGTTACATAAACTCATCTCAGATCACAACTCTGACATAATTTGTTTACAAGAAACTCGATTCCACGAAACAAAAACACACACGCCGAACATTACAGGGGATTCTTTAAGAACCGCAATGTTAGCTCTAATTACATAGCTAGTGGAGGTGTTGCTATTTATATCAAAAGTAACATAGTAGCGAAGCCCATAAACCTTAACACTCAGCTAGAGGCAGTCGCAGTCATAATAGAAGGCTCTCAGAATATTAGCATTTGCAATGTATATATACCACCCAATTATCACTTAGATACAAATGAACTGGAGGCACTTCTCCGACAAGTACCATCACCTCGAATTATCCAAGGTGACTTTAACGCCCATCATCACACCTGGGGATCAAGAAGAAACAATACTCGAGGAAAAAATAATAAAAGATATTTTGGATACAACAGATGTTAATTTGCTAAACGATGGTACTGAAACAAGACTTGATCTAGGAACTGGAACAACATCATCAATAGATTTGAGCTTAAGCTCGACAAATCTTGTAACCCGTCTGAACTGGAGCGTATTAGATGACCTGAATGGAAGCGACCATTTTCCTATAGTCTTATCTAACCCAGGAGAATTGAACAGTGATACACTACCTGAAAAGTGGAACCTGAAAAAAGCAGACTGGATACACTTCTCGAAATATATAGAACACAATTTATACA